AAATGAGGGCAGTTGTGGAAAAAAAAGGTTATGTTTCCTAAATACTTGTGCAGTTTTTTGGTACTGGGAATTGAACTCAGGACCTTGTGCTTGCCATACAGGCACTTGTGCCGCTGAGCTATATTCCCAGTCCCCTGCAAAAACATTTAAGTACACTGTGCACAAACACTTGTGTAGCCTCCTGATTGCATGTGGCCAACTGTAGCTCACTGGACAATGCCACTCAAGACTGTGTCATGTTCATAGCAGGGCACCATGCTCACCAGCCTGAGTCTGTGCACACCCTTAGCAATGACAAGGATTCTACACTAAATTCATCTTGCGGTCTGTGGGGCTAGTGGTCAGAAATGCTTTTGTGGGACCAGAGATTTAGTTCAGTGGTACAGTGCCTGCCTAGCAAACATGAGGCCCTGAGTTCAATTCCTAGTACCCTGCCACACCCCCAACTACTTTTGTGGCCATCATGGATCCCAGGGCTGCCCTACCAAGAAACACCTATTCTCCCAGTGTCTGCTTAGAGGGCTGTACGAATGATTTCCTTCTTCCTTTTTTTTTTTTTAATTTAAAAAAATACTTTGGCTTTTTGAGACAAGTTCTTGCTAGGTAGTCCACACTGGCCTTGAACTTACTGTGTAGCCCAGAGTGGTCCTGAACTCACAACAATCCTCCTGCTTCACCTTCCTGAGTACTGGAATTACAGGCGTGCACCACCATACCTAACTTATTTTTCCTTATCTTAAAAAAAAAAATTCTCACAAATTCTCAGGGATTGAAAATGATAAGAGGCTTGTTGTATGTTCCCTAAAACAGATTTCTGAAAGAGAATCAGAATTGGATGAATGCTGATAGCTGCCACCTGTTGTGGCACTTGCCAGGCCACTGAGTTCTAAGCTGAACGATGCTCTCAGCTTGATTTTGGAAGGGCACATTGAGGCCTGTGGCATTGTTGCCTGCTCAAATCAGTGTAGTGTGGAAAAACAAGGCCACAATTCTGAGTAGTCAAAAGATGTGTTAAGACTGGAGAGGCACTGCTATGGCTGCCAAGCATAGGTTTGTGGAAGGGAGAGCTGAGATTTGTATCAGCTAGGGGAGGAAGCGTGGAAAGTTCTTTGTGTTTCCTACTCTGTCATTTATGGTGGTGCACATCTGTAATCCCAGTACTTGTTTGGGTCTTCTAGGAAGAGTCTCCTGAAGAAGAGGGCCATGGACATGATCACCTCTACAACCATCCTGCCCTTGCTGTTTGGCTGCCTGGGCATCTTTGGCCTCTTCCGGCTACTGCAGTGGATTCGCATGAAGGCTTACCTGAGGAATGCTGTGGTGGTGGTCACAGGTGCCACCTCAGGCCTGGGGAGAGGTGGGTCAGGTGATTGCTGTTGAATGTAGAGAACAAGCTGGATGTGAGGGGATGCTGGCTGTACTGGAACTGCCAAACATCCAAACAGACTGCCACTATCCCTGGTCCACCTAGAAAAATGTAGAGCCTTACGCACAATGAGAAATGGCCCCGACTGTCAGTGTGGGGAGGCGAAAGCAAGTAAAGACTGCGCAGTCTGTTGAAGGGCAGCCTAATTTAGCTCCAGCTGCTTCTTGAAAGATTTTGATATGAAATCTGATTTTCAAATATGAACAAACTAACAAGAATTTTTACCCTTGTGAGGAACAAATGAGAATACTTTTTCTTGGATTCAGCTAGCACCTCCAGCCTTGTATGACCTTAGAACACACTTTGCCCACACCTTCTTCCCTTTCCCTTCCTGGCTCAGTAAGATCAGAGAGGATAATTGAGGTCTCAGCTGTTCCTGTACCAGGTTCTCTAGGTTAGGCACATTCCCCTTCAGTGACATCTTGGGCTTTGGAGGCTTGGCATGGTGTACTAGGACACAGACCTGGGTCAGTCAAACTCCTGGCCTTACCTTGCCTAGAAGCCCACACAGTGCCCTGCAGAGCTGTTGTAGACTGTGGCAGCCAAGGCGAAGGACACATGGTATGAAGTATCTACCTTCTTAACTCTGCCTATGCACACACCACAGTGGTACTACCCACACTTAATTGTACTTTCAGGGAAGAGGCAGAGAAGCTCTGGGAAATGTCATAGACCACCTGCCACTTCAGGTTTGGTTGGTGCTAGCATAACTGGTGCCCACTGAACATCTAAGAGCCAGGTTAAAGGCTAAGTGCTAGCCAGGGTCCCTAGAGCCTAGGGGGCATGGCAGAGTGATACAGCTTTTGGCTAACATGTGAGGCCTTGTGTTTCATCCCTAGGACTTCAGTAACAACAAAACCCCAAAATATTAAAGATAGTGTCCTTCTCTTAAGAAAGTCACAGTTTTCTGGAGAAAGGCAAGGATTTAGCTGTGTTATTTTAATCATAGAAGTTTCCAATCATGTCTGATGAGGGGAATCCCAGTTCTGTGTTCAAAGTGTGTGATCTCACTAAATTCTCACACTTGTGATTCATGCATTTGACTTTTGCTGTAGGACAGTGGTGGCCAATCTATGGGACAACATGCCACAGTGGTCTGTTATCATCGAAAGCTCTAAGATTCACCATCACTACCCTAGGACTTTCATCCAGAAAGCACAAAGCTAAGAGTGAGAACCACATCTCTCTGACTTCAGAACTTGGTTGTCTTTGTTTTTTTGAGACAGGGTCTTGTTATACAATTTAGGCAAGCCTTGAGCTCACTGTGTAGCCCAGACCATCCTCAGACTCATGGTAATATTGCTGTTTCAGCCTCTGGAATGCTGGGATTATAAGCATGTGCTGTCATCCCCAGCCAGAACTGAATTTTAAAGCCTCATCTTGGGGGAAATGGCCCTGTAAAAGGAAGGTGTGGCCAGGAAGGAAGGGAGGGAGGCCATGAGGAGCAGACTGGTAGCACAGAGAGTTGTGAACAGTGGAGTGTTAGATGAAAACAAAGAAGCAGATAGGGCCTTATCTGTGGAGTAAGAGGCTATGCGTAGCTAGGGAACCTGGGAGGACTTTACAGGGAGTTTGGGTTCATTTGTATGCTAGTGTAGCCTTTAGGTGAGGTCTTTGGGGTGAGCCCTGAGTCTGTCATTGGATATCCAGACCTTTGGAGGAACAGCTGCCTCCTGGCCTCTGACCTTATTCAGCTTATATAAATAGGATAGTCAGCAGCTGCTTCTTGATCTCAGAGAAAGCGATTTTTAAAAGTCCTTGAAGAGTAGTTGAGAGCTGCCTGGTGTAGAGTCACCAGGGAGTTGGAGGTGTCTCCATATGTGGATGTTTCAGGAAGACACTGTCTTCATTATTCTGCATACCCTTTTAACTCCAAGACTATGAAAATAATAGGAGGTGTTATTGAAAACATCAAGCCTGTACATGGAGTACATGATGTTAGGTCTTTCCTGGCCACTCTCCTTATATTCTGTGTCATTTAGCAACATAAGGACAGGAGTCCCTCCATCCAGATAAAGTAGAAACAAGACTCTGAATGGGCTATTTCAAGTATTACAGACACCCATAACTGATGCCACCAAGGACGTGGTGCATTGCCCAGCTTCTGTGAGGAGCAGACCTGCACTGTCTTCAGCAGCTCTGCCTGTTCTGTCATTACTGTACTCTGGGGATCAGGGTCTTTTGTTCTTTTTTTTTGGGGGGGGGGGTTGGGGTCTTTGATGGTCTGACAGCTTTCCTATTTCTCCTGTCTTTTCTGGTATTTAATGCATTTAAGCTACATGGAGTTTATTCTTGAAGCATAGTAGCACTGTTGACTAGCTGTAGAATGTTCTGGATGTGCACAGCTGTTCTGATTTATATAGCCCAGGCATGTTGGCAGCACCAGGGACTCCACTGCAACCCTTGATAACTGACACTTTGGAACTGTTAGCCTTTTCCCTTTGCTTCTTTTGCCTGTTGCATCAGCTTTTTTCAAGAAAGGATGGAATCTTACCAGTCTGTTCTTATTTTTCTCATGCTCTACAAAAACTTTAATTTCCTTTCCATTTGGCTTTACTAAGAAAAGTGGATTTGCGTAATCTTTTTTTTTTTTGTTCCTTGAATGCTTTCAGGGCACTTTTGGCCAGCCGGAGTGTTGTGAGGTTCGAACTCTAGCAACCTGAGGCTGACAGCTTTGTGGAAGCAGCCACTTAAAGGATTGAGCTGCTAGGGCCAGGCCCCCCTGGGTAATCATTTTTTAAAAACTGTTTATATACTAGTATGCTTCCCAACCTTTGGTTCTTTGTGTCTACACCTTTTTTTTTTTTTTTGTGGAACCGGGGCTTGAACTCAGACCCTTGCACTTGCCAGGGAAGCGCTTATTCTACTGAGCCATCTCCCCGGCCCCATGTGTCTATACCTTTTGGTGGCATGTCACAAAATATTCTGTGTATTAGGACAATGCGAAGTGAGGAATCCAGCAGGGACCAAGGTTCCTAATCTTTAGGAATAATTCAGTAAATGAGATAAGCAATTCTATCATTGGTGTCTGGCATAGCATGAGACCTATACCATGATCACCCCTGTAAGGACTTCGCTGCTTTGCTAAGAATGTACTGTGGCCAGACTAGGCCAGGTTATATAGACATAGGTAGGAGCAAACTTCTCATGTTGTTTTCTTAGTGCCTCCTTCCAGAAAACTGTCTGAGGGTGTGAGAGAGGTAGGCACAGGTTGGTGAGTATCTCAGTTACTTTTCTCTTGTTACTGGTACAAAATACCTGACACCCAAAATTAAGGAAGGAAAGGTTTTAGCTCAGTTTGTGGAGGTTTCAGTCCATATTCAGCTGCCTCTAAGGTAGAGTAGCACATGACAGAGGACAGCAGTTCATGGTGTTGTAAAACAGCAAAAGGCAAAGGGAGGAGCAGGGGCAAGCCTCTCACTTCCTTATATTGTATGCAAGTTATTTGCTCCAAGGTGAGTGTAGCACTTACACCCATAATTCCAAGTTGGATCATGAATTACAAACTCTAGAAGCTGCTCCATGACTACATGAGGCTTTGTGTGGACAACTAGACACAAACCATAACAGTGAGTGAGAACTGTGTGCTGGAATAGTCAAGGAGCAGTAGTGGTGGTGGTACTGTTGTAGCTACCGAGAGGACTTCATGCCCAGAGACAGGCAGCAGCATAGCACCTTCTTCCCATGATGCCTCAGGCCTGAGTCCTGAAAGATAGAGGAATTTGGACTTTTTTCCTGTTAATCTAGATTTAAGGAAACTTGACATTTCTGTGAGGGAAGGAATGTTCAGATCCAACACACTGACTATCTTCTGACCCTGTTCCTTCCCAGCCAAGCAAGTGAGAACTCTGATCCCTTACCGTACCCGTGCATCATAACTTCCAGAGATGGAATTACCCTGTAGGGCAGGCTTAGCTCTTCTAGGAGCAGAAGAACTAAGAAGCGACTGGACCATCTGGGCCTGTAAGATTTGGTTCAGTCAAAGCCCTAGGTGTCCCCGGAGCTTCTCGTGCATTTGTGGAGAATTGCCCTCAGGTGAGGACACAAAAACCCACATGCAAAGTCTTCATCTGTGATTTTAAGACCATTTTTAAAAGGTTGTTTGGAAATATTAAAATATGAATAAGTAGTAAAAACAAGCACTATTAAACACAATACCTTATAGTGCTTTTTATTTACCCACTGTTATAAAGGATCCATTACATTAACTTTTTTTTTTTAATGTATCTGTTACAGGCTTTCACTATACAGCTCAGACTTGGAGTGATCCTCCTGTTTTCAGCTTCCCTAGTGCTGGGATTACAGGCGTGTGCCACCATGCCTGGTCTTGGTAGTTGGCTCAGTGAGCCCAGGGGCGGGGCCAGTGTGGCATATGGTGCCAGGGATTGAGCCTCAGTTCCTATGCTTGCCTAAGCAGGTGCTTAAGCCACTGATCCATCTCACCAGCCCTTAGACACTGTTTTTATGTGCATCTTAAGAGGGAAGTGAAAACAAAAATTATGGAAACCATAGAACCAATAAGCATGGGAAGTCAGAGTTGACACAGGAAGTCCCATTTTTGGACCATTGCACTTCACTGCTTCAGAGCTAAAAGTTTTCAAGGCACTGAACAATTAGCTAGGACATATTTGGGGCAAGCAAGCAAACGACTTCCCCCTGGAACTCTGTTCCCTGCACATTCACAGCTCCATCCTGCTAGGCCTCTCCTCTCCCCTCAGTACCCCATCATGAGTTCTCCCTTGGCCTCCCCACATCCCACAACATTTTGCTGCCTAAACCCCACTCTCAGATTAGCAAAGCCTTTGTGCAGTATGATTTTTTTTTTTTTTTTTTTTTTTTTTTTTTTTGAGGAACCGGGGATTGAACTCAGGCCCTTGCGCTTGCCAGGGAAGTACTTACTCTATTTAGCCTTCTCCCCGGCCCCAACAAAGCCTTTGAACTTCCACGTTTTGTCCTAGCATCCTTTGCCCTGGTTCCTTGGGTACTGTACACATTCTGTTCCCTCTGCCTGGAGCATTCTCTAAATCCCCCATGCCACTCCCCATGGATCCAGAACTAAAGGGAAGAACTCACTACCACTTCTCATAATCCTCTGCCCTGATTTTCTGCAAGCAGCATGTGTTCCTCATAGATCTGTACTGATTACTTTTAGGTGGCATAAGGAGCAGGTCACATAGTGGTAGAAGACAGTTTGACTGCACTGTGGTGACAGCCAGCTCTGCCTGTCATAGCTCATTGAAATGGGTTCCTTGCCTGACCATTGGGAGCATCACTTGCTTAACTTCTTTACCTCTGAAAAGAAAAGTTATGTTCAGGGTTGTTCAGCGTTTAAAAAAAGCTTCAGGAAAGGTTTTGAAGTGTGCATGGTAAAGGCACACATTTGCCTGCCCCTCTCATCCTCTTTGCCTGGATGTCTGTCAGACCTGTCACTCCTCTGAACAGGAGCCCTACCTTTGGCCCTAAATCCTAGCTCCACACTAGTCCACAGCACCCTCCAACACATGGGAGTTACATGGAGACAGACCTGTGCTGTGTAGTGTTGGGAGTCTTTAAACGGCACTGGAGAGGAATAGCACTGGTTATCTTCAGCTGTCATGGTTCTTTTCTCTTTCCTTAGAATGCGCCAAAGCCTTCTATGCTGCTGGTGCAAAGCTGGTGTTGTGTGGCCGGAATATGGAGGCCCTTGAGGAACTTGCCCAAGAGCTCATGGCCTCTCGTTTCCCACAGGTAAGCTGGGCACAATTTCCTAGGGAAATGTTGCAGTCTGCCGCCACAGACCGCTGACGAGACAGTTCTCTGCTCCTGAGTGTCCATGTAGTCATGCTGTACAAGGGGTTGACATGCTTAAAATTTTAATTGTCTTTAAACTGTACATATTTATTATTTTAATTATTGGTCAATGTAAAACACATACTAAATGCATTCATAATGTGGTTAACAATTACCTCTATCTCTACCCAAAATTTTTGTAACATTCCCAACAAAAATTCCATACCCGGGGCCAGGAAGATAGCGTAGTAGAATAAGCGCTTGCCTGGCAAGCACAAGGTCCTGAGCGCAATCCCCTGTACCACAAAAAAAAAAAAAAAAAAAAAAAAAAAATCCATACCCATTAAACCATGACTCCTCCCCCTGTACCTGCGGACCTGTCTTCTATTTTCTGTCTCTAGGAATTTGCCTACTCTAGGACAGAAAGTAGAAGACTCTGGGACTTTGCACTTGCCAGGCAGGTGCTTTCCATTGAACTATATCCCTGATCCTCTTTGCCCATTTTAAAATCAAGTTGTTTTTGTTATTGAGTTTAAAAGTTCTTTATATGTTCTCCATATTAATCCCAACCAGATATGGAATTTGTAAATATTTTCTCTCATTTGGTAGATTGTCTTAACTTTCTTGATAATATCTTTTCATCCACAAATCTTTATTTTTTATTTTATTTTTTATTTATTTGTGTGTGTGTGTGTGTGTGTGTGTGTGTGTGTGCGTGCGCGTGTGTGTGGCCAGCTCAGCCCACCAGGGGGCGGGGCTGGCTGGCATGTGGTGCTGGGGGATCGAACCGCGGTCCCTGTGCTTTGCCAAGCTTGTTCTAAGTAGGTGCCTTAGACCACTGAGCCATCTCACCAGCCCCCAACCACAAATCTTTAATTTGGAGGAAATAGCTTATTTTTTTTTCTTTTGCTGTGTGCACTTTTAGTGTCATACCCACAAAATTGTTGCCACATCCAATAGCATGTAAATTTTTTTTTCTGAGTTTTATACTTTTAACTCTTACATTTAAGTCTTTTATTTATTTTTATTAAGTTTTTTATATTTTCATGTATTTAGTACAGGGTCTCACTACACAGATAGGAATCATAATGATCCTCCTGTTTCAGCCTCCCAAGTGCTAGGATTACAGGCACGCACCACCATGTCCAGTCTCAGTCCTGTCTCAGCATGCCCCAGGGCAGGGACAGCACAGCACGCTGGGGATTGAACCCCACTCCCTATGTCTGCCAAAGCAGGTGTTTTATCCACTGAGCTATCTGGCTGTTCCCCTAAGTCTTTGATCTATTTGAGTTAATGTTTACATATGTTAGTGGGTAAGGGAATAACATTATTCTTTTGCATATGTATATCTACTTGTCCTAGAACCGTGTATTAAAGACTTACTAGGCCAGGCACGGTGAGTGCACACCTTAAATCTCAACACTCAGGAGGCTGAGGCAGGAGGATTGTTGTGATTTCGAGACTAACCTGGGCTACAAAGTGAGCTCAAGGCAGCCTGAACTGCACAGCAAGACCCTGTCTCAAAAAGACACACACACATAGAAACTGCTATTATAAATGGAATTATTTTCCTAATTTCCTTTTCAGATTATGCATTGTACCCATAGGGAAACACAGGTACTCATTTGTTTCTTTGTTTTTGAGACAGGGTCTTGCTCTGTAGTTCAAGCAGACCCTGAATTATCTTAGTCCAGGCTGGCCTTGAACTTGCAGCAATCCTTCAGTTTCAGCCTCCTAAGTGCTGAGGTTACAGGCACATGGCACCACACTCAGCTACACGGCTCATTTTTATGTGTTATCTTCTACCCTGCAGCTCTGTAGAGTTTCTTAGCTAGCTCCTAGTAGCTTTCATGGATTTGTTGGAATTTTCCATCAATAAAATCATGTCATCTGCAAACAGAGATAGTTTTAGTTCTTCCTTTGCAGTATGAGTAGCATTTCTTTTTTTTCCTTGTCTAAGTACTGTAGTTAGAATAATTTGAATAGTAGCAGTGAAAGCAGGCACCCTTGTACCTAACTTGAGCAAAAAGCATTCAGTTTTTTACCACTGACTATGATGTTACCTTTGGGGTTTTCATGAATATCTGTTGCCGTGTTGATGAATTTCCACTTCATTCTTAGTTATAAAATACATGTTTTTATCATGGAATGATGATATATGTTGTCAAGTCTTTTTTTTTTATTAATTGGTTATTGTATATTTTCCTTTTATCATTCTGTTAACATGATTTATTACATTGACTGATTTTCTGATGTTGAACCACCCTTACATTCCTGGGACAAATACCTTTGGTTATAGTATTTATTATTTTTTTAATTTTAGGGAAGGGTCTACAGGGTGTTCAGGGTATCACTACTAGATCAGAATAGTAATGAACCACCTGTTTATAGCCTCCCAAGAGCTGGGATTACAGGTATGCACCACCACACCCAGTCTCAATTGCCATCTCAGTGGACCATGGGGGCGGGGCCAGCATGGCAGGCCCAGGGATCAAATCCCTGGTCCCTGAGCCTGCTTTCAGGCGCTTTAATCTGCTGAGCTATTTGGCTGGCCCTTCTTCCTTTGGTTATAGTAAACAATCCTGTTAAATTCAATTTGCTAGTCCTTTGTTAGGGATTTTCACTTATAGATGCATAAGGGATACTGGTCTACCACTTTCTTGTGATGGCTTTATCCGGCTTTGATACAAAAGTAATGTTGAGCTTATAGAATGAATTCGGAAGAGCTTTCTCTGGTGTTGTGTTTTTTTTTTCTTTACCATTTGGTCAAAATCACATGAAGCTGGTCTGGCACTTAATCTTTATTGCAAGCAAGTTTTTTGACTACTAAATCAATTTCTTCACCTGCTTTAAGTTTGCTGAGATTCTTTTTTTTTTTTTTTTTTTTTGAGTTGGTTTAGGTAATTTGTGTATTCCAAGAAATTTGTCCAATTTTTACTAGGCTATCTAAATTATTGGCACATTGATTATGCATAATGTTGTCTTATAATCTTTTCAAAAAATGAATTGATTCCACCCTCCCTTGCTTCCTCCTATACTGGAGATTAAACCCAGGGAAAATTGAGATATACTTCTGGCCCTTTTTCTTTTTTCTTTTTTTTTTTTTTT